TTAAGTGTTCGAAATAAATGATCAATCAATGTGCGTCATCCAATGCAGATCATTGGTTCCATCCACATCTAGTGAAAACCACTGTCATTGGATGAGTCCTATAACGCAAACACTCATTGGTTAGCTAAAGGAAATCATCAGAAGCAAGCAGGTGTTCTTCAAACTGCAAACGTGAATTGTCTATGCCATGCTACAATGTTGGATTCAGAAAAAGATGTTGAAAGGTCGGAAACAGGCGAGAGCGTATCGGGAGATGGAGACCAACAGGACCTCCCTCATCCTTTAAGTTCATATAGTGGCATCTGGCTGTTTTTATTAAAGGTGACTTTATACTTTTATACTTTAAGTAGTTTCTGGAGCACATACGTTTTCACTTTTACATGAGTAAACAGATCAAGTTGATACTTCAACTTTTACCAGAGTGTTTTAAACTGCAGTATCTATACTTCTACTTAAGTAACAAATGTGTGTACTTTTGACACCACTGAAATTATTGGTACTTCAACAGAACAGGAAGCGGATTTCTCATCTCGATCAAAATAATTTTTATACTGAAAGGCTTAAAAGTTTCATCAAATCCAGTCACAACAACTTTCAAGAGAACATCTGATAACTTCAAAACAAACTTCTCGCAGGCATGGATGAAGAAATCTTGAATTTGGAAGTAGAGAACAAACCAATTTTGTATGATAATCCTCATTTACAAAGACCCACAACGAAGAAAATATGTTTGGGCAAACCTGTGTGATTGATGCTAATGTTGAGTTTTAATCATGTCATATTAAATTAAATGTTTACTACCGCATGTTTTTCCTCCTGTGAAGGGAGGAACGGCGGAGGCTGTCGACTTTGTGCAGGCGGGCGGGAACCGAGCGGGGAAGGAGGATGAGGGATTTCGGGGTTAGGGAGGGCTTAATCTTAACATCAAGATGACAAAATTTAAATAAAGCACCTTTATAAACAGAAAAAAAAAACATTCCAAGTTGAATTTCTGTAAGAAGAAACATGTTGCTTCATTTATTTCAATGATAAACCATGTGGAAAAGAAAAAAAATCTCTCAGGGTTATTAAACCAGACTCCGCTTACTTGAGATGAAACTGCTTTGCTTTTCCCACTCAGCAGACTAGCAGCAAAACATTTTTATCAACGTCAGCAAATTCAACGTTTTCCACAATAAATAAGCTACATATCCGAGCGCCGTCACATGTATGGCATGTTATTCAGAGAGTCCACAGCGGATCTGGTTTTATACAGAGTTTAAAGGACACTGCTGAGGAGCTGCACCGAAGAACCCTCACTGCTTTGGTTTCAACGCCGTGGCGAAGACGCCCACGACGATGGCGACAACGGTGAAGCCTTGAGCGAATATACGGCCCCTCATCAACATCTGGGACTGTCTGGTTTTTCCTTGATGGAAGGCGCGGAGACCGTACAGCAGAGCTCCGGCTGTTCCCAAACAACCTGATGAACAGAAAAAAAACAGGATTTTACTGATGAAGAGAACATGAAAAACGCATTTATACTGTTTTGTGCATTTTTTTTTGCACAAAATGTACTGATTTTATAGGATTGACAAAATAAGGCATAGAGCGTAAAGAAGAGGGAAATGATACTCGTCTTTCAAAATAACATTTTGCAAGAGAAAATCATCTTAAAGTCTTTTCTTAATTGAATTTAGACTGAATCGCCTGTTTTTGCTTTCACAAGTGTGCATATAAATATCTTTATTATAATTCATGCAGGGAGTATTACAGATTTTATGGACACTGCAAGGCAAGTAGAACAGGAAAGACAAAACAGAAAAAAAGGCGAAAAGATGAAAGAAAGGATATAAAACATCTTCACTCTGCTTCATCCACTGCAAAGAGATGTAAGAAGAACAGCACAACAAACGGATAAAGTATAAGAGATACAATAAAGTAACACCTTGATACTATCGCTCACATATAAGTATTTAAGTATTATTTAATCTGACATGTATACTGTAGTAGGTGAAGATAAGAATATGGGCTTTCTGTGTTGAAGTGAATCTCTAAGCACCTGCAGTTGTTTGTGAGAGTGCACTTATGCATGAAAAGTTTATCCAAAGGGAAAATGCTCAATAGTGGGGAGCCCCCACAACCACTAGATGGGAGGGTTTAGGGTCCATCAATTCTTCCATGACTTTTAGCATTTAGGGAAACATCACCTGTGTCTGATTTGAGAATCTGCTGCAGAATAGATTGGTTGTTTTTCCAACCAATCTAGTTGGTTAAAACTAGTTTGATTAGATTAAACAATATAAGTGATCAAAATCCGACCAAGTCACTGCTTACAGATGTATTGAGTTTTATGTAGGATTGCTTTTAGGATCATTGTCATCTTGCTTGTCATCTGTAAGAGTTGGATCCACTCTTAAAGATTGATGGTTCAACACCCACTTCAGACTTTTGAAAGTTGGGATACATATTTTGTTTTTGCGGCTAATGTGACTGATATGTATTGATTTGCCCTAAAACATATATAGATTGGGTAAAAATACTGCCAAATTAGATTGGTTGAACACATAACTTCAAACCTGATGAAAAACCAAAAACTATTATGTTTCAATAAAATGACTAACACCTTTCCTTTTGTTCAATGTCCAATTTGCACAAGCACTTTAACTGTCTGCTAGAGCTTCTTTCACTAAAATGGCAGAAAAACTGTGATTTTTCTCTTCTTAAACATTTTACGCATAAAAAACTAACAAAATATATTATACATACCAATCATTAATAATTTCTAAGGAACTTAAACGGGAAAAAACAAGAAAAACAATTGCAAAAAAATCAGATTATATTATCAACTGTAGTTCTGCGCTTAACCAGTAGGTGGTGACATGTTCCTCTCACCGTCACTACTCTTAAACAGGCAGGTCCTTCCTCGCTTAATAAAGACAAATGTTAGCGCTGCTAACTTTGAGGCCAAACATCAATAAAGGGTTGTAATAAAAGAAAAGTTTACAAAAAGGTGTGAACATCTGTGGCTCTACAGGCCGTTACCTCGCAGTGTTATGATGTAGCATTAGATGCTAACTCTGCTAAGTGCACTGGAGGACACAGAGGACTACAGTTGTACAACTTCCGCCAGCGGTCTTCCTGCTTGTGTAACTCACCTATAGGGACGAATGGATTCTCCTTAGTTTTCCTCAGGAATTTTTCCTTGAAGCTTTCGTCTTTGGCCTTCGTTAACGGGGTGAATCCTTCGATGATCGGGGGCTGGGACAGGTCAAACGGTATCTGCCCCGGAGTCTGTGCTTCGGGCTGATCAGATACAGCTGGTGTTGCTGCCACCGCCATGTTGAAATTGGAATATTTGTCAAATATAAAACTTATAGAACTTCCGGTGAATTTATCCGAACCTTTCACAATAAAAGTGGGATTTACCAAGACCTAAACAGGAAGGTAACCTCATTTAGCACATTTTTAGCAGTGGACATTTATTCATAAATATAGTAGCAATATTTTTATCTTAAGATGTCCGCAAATGTTTCGTTAAAATTTAATTTACATCTGCTGTAATCTTTTACTGCTATAACGCTACAATTTCCCCATTGTGAGATTTTCCATTTTACCCCACCTTCACCACTAGATGGCAGCATTGTACAATCCAAATCTTTAGAATTATACATAAAGGTAAATAAGGCTGTTTGCTTTTATTTTAATAATGCGCTTAAACGTTTCTTTTGATAATTAAATCGTTTATAATTGTATTAAAAATGTGCAAATCTTTAAAGTTGTAACCGAACAATTACACCCTTCCCATAAAAATAAAACAATTATTTTGGTAACCATGCAAGCTTGCTATCTTTTTTTTTTCATTCATAACTGGTAAAATTAATTTCAAGTAGCGTTTTCTGCTGCAGAATAATTTATTTCAAATCATCAATAGGGTTTAGGTTAGTACTTTTTTATTATTATTCCACCATAATTCAGGCTTTTATGAACTAGTTGTATTATGCCAGTGCTTAGACCAAAGTTTAACATTATAAAATCTGTCTTCAGAAACTAACCAAACCAATATGGACCTTATGAGGCCTGCCGCACCCATAACTGTATCAGTGTTATAGTTTAAAATATACAGGGAATGTAATGAGCTTTAAAAAAAAAAATAATGTTAATGGGTGGAAAAGGCAACATTTGCAGACTTATAAAGGCTTAAAAACAAATGCCTCATAATAGTTCAGTTTTCTAAAAAAAAACTAAACTGTTAAGCAAAATCTAGATCTTGCTGCATTTTAACCCTGTAATGCCAAATGTATCGTATTTGATACATACGGTTTCTGAAATGTTTTGCGTCTGACACCTTTTGCATAATTTAATGGTAAAAACTTTGCTCTAAATCCTATTGTACACAATCAGATATACCTGATAACAGCCAGTAGAAGACTACACAAAAAATAATCTTGACTTATCGCATAATAATAAATTATCAAAAATTTGTTTTTTCTTTCTACATATTTTGTTAAAAGGGCAAATAAGGAATTCAAACGGAAAAAAAAGTAATTTTCTGTTTTGTTTTATTCTTGGATCAGGCTTTAAATTGTTAAAAGATTGTTTCAGCTAGTGCTAATCATGAGTAATCAATTTTTGAAATAATTATCAATTAAGTAGTCGGAGTATAGAGACTTTAAAACATGCCTTTTAGCTGACGGAGAGACCCACGTAGAGCAGCAATTATAAAACTTAAAAAAAAAATATATATATATAAGAAATATTTTGCATTTAAGATAAAAACAAAAACCGTTTTCATCCATCAACATGCTCTATCCAGAACTCTTCAAGTGGAAATGTTTTAGTTTCACCTGGTTTAAATTCATAAAAAAAAAATCCTCTGTAAAGGAACCTCAGGCTATGAGATTATTAATCAATTAATTAAAAAAATTAGACATTTATCGATTTGCGAAATGATTGTAGTTGCAGCCCTAGTTCCAGTCCATTGTTGTTTTCACAGGGACAAAGAAAAGGACCAAGAAACAAAACATCCTTTAAAAAAAAAAAAACAAATACATCAAAGAGCCCAGACACTTTTCAATCTTTTTATTGAATATTAAGGTAAATATTTCACATTAATACAGGCTACATAAAGTAGAGCCACTATACGACATGAAATTTACTCTCATTTTAACCCTTTTTAGTATGTAAACAATTATACATGTATTTACCACTCTAAAAGGTTCTGATTTCTCTTTAGGTAATCATCATCATCATCAGCTAGTTCTGGGCCAAGTTTAAATAGCTACTTCATTTTGAGCCCCCTGCAGCCCAAGAACGGTGTATGTGGGTTTAAGTCAAAATCGCTAAACTACGCAGAGAATAGATCCTGTTGAACAGGTGAACTCGAACAACTGTATCATCACGTGAATGATGCCCCGATTTCCTCTCTTCCATGTTTGAGATAGGCACATCAAAGAATGGCGTCAAAGAGAACTTCCGTTTCTTCAACCCCTGCTCTGCACCTTCAGGCCTCTAAAGTTACTATGTTGGGACTTGAATTTTTATTTTTTTCTCGCCATGTCTCTTCTGTCTTATGGTATCACGTTTGCACAGTGGGTCATGCTGTGTGCATTTAACTTCTGTGGATGCCGCTTAGTTGACGTGGTTCAGGTGCACGTTGCCCACATGAGGAGCCCAGGTACCAGGCCAAACCTGAAGAAATAAAAGTAGTTTTTGGTTTCGTAATTACAGATTAAAACTGTTTAAATTAGCGTCAACAAACCTGCTGCTGTGGGTCGGAGTTGTCTGCGTTGTTGGGGACCACTTTAATGATGGGGTTCCATGCGGGGTCGCCTGCGTGCATGCCGTTGTACATCGGACCCCCCGGGCCTTCTGCCATGGGAGGGTGGGGGGTCAGCATGGTTCCTCCGTACATTGACACAGGCATCCCCTGCACGGATAAAAGGGAATAGGTTTAACACCGCCCCCCCTTCCTCACACACAGGCAGGAGAAAATCAGAGCGTTACCTTCTGGAAGTCCATGTAACTGTTGGGCAAATGCTGAGGCTGGTGGTAGCTGTTAGCCGGGTTAGCAATGCCGGTGTCGTCCTGCTCCATGGGCTGGTGCTGGGAGAAGGCCGACTGCTCGGCCTGCAGCTGGGGGTGCATCATGTGGCTGTTCATCAGAGGCTGGGACCAACCAGACATGGCTTCTGCACCAAAACACAGAGTTAGCTCGTCCGCAACACCGTTATTCATGGCGGGTCGCTAAAAACCACTAAATGAACCCTCACCCGAGGCGCTGCCGACTCCAAACGACCAGATGCCGCCCTGTCCGACAGAAGCTGTGTAGCTGGTGGTGAGAAGCGATGGGTTGACCGAACCCGTCTGCCTGATCCTGGCCAGCCGCTCGGTGCCGATGGGAGGGGGGACCTTTCTGTCCTGCTGGGAGGAGCTGCCTTGTTTAGGCTGGGGAGGGGGAGCCATGGCTGAGGTGGAGAGGGCGGTGGAGGATACCGTGGGAGGAGGTGGGACTGGGGATTCACCTGTTGGGGGAAAAAGAGAGAGAACCAAAAGGTTTATATATCTGGACAGCTTTCGAGTTAAAACTATGACATCAAATGTCTTAACCAATCAGTGAAGAGATTACGGCTTAAACAATCCGATTAATCGTACTAAATCGATTTTTTTGAAGAAAAACTATAGAAAAGTAAAAATTCTGGCAATTCAGAGTTTTTAAATCATCATAAATTCTAATTTATCTATAATATATTTTAGGTTATAAAGTAACGTTCTTTATCACAATAATGAAATATGCTCATCCGTACCTCACAGGTATTTAAAATAAAATCAAAGAAAGCAAAAAAAAAAGCTTCCAGACATTTTCCATTTTGCAAAGAGATGTGGCTGCGGTTAGTTCTGTGCTATGACTTATAAACAGACGGAGAAGTCAGCAAATAACTGAAAGCTGAACATATTAACCCAAAGCTGCTCAATTTAAAGAGAGAGAAAATAATTTTTGCCATTTTATAAGAGTAAGACATTAGTTGTGTCCGAACGTCCGCCCTAATCACTATATAGGGCCCTATATAGTGATTACGCCGTTTTAGATGAGTATCTGAACGTCTAGTGGATTAAAAATGATAATCCATGGTGAACTAGACGAGCAGATTCATTGTCACAGCGGCCCAATTAAAGATGGCGCAGGCAACATGTGGGGGAGGCGGAGTCTCGTGACCAAAGGGGAGTGAAAAGTAGTGACCATCTGTCTGACCGGTAAGTAAACAGAGTTCTCTATAAAGTGCACTAAATAGTCCCTGCTCTATATAGTGATTTAGGGATCTAGGGGTTAAGGCGCACATTTGGACACAGCCTAACTTCCTGATCCAGCACATTAGGTGGAGCTTTTATGCTTGATTCGGGTTTGCAGCTACAGAGGAGAAGCGGAGGCTGCAGCTCAATGCTCATGGCACTTTTTTTAGCGATTCTGGAAAAGAGCTCTTTTAAGAAACCATCAAACCGGGAAGCCCAACATCTATTAAACTTTTTTCAGTGCAAAGGAAAATAGAAAATAACAGGTTTCCTACAGCATAGGCAAGTTAAATTCAAGACGTTTTTTTAATGCCAGATGAAATAAAAATTTAAGACCAAATTCACAAGAAACACAAGAAAAACCTGCTTGCGACAACTTAACCCAAAGGTTTATTATAACATAAACCACTGCACCAATGTTTCAAATTTTGAAAAGCTTAAAAAATTCGCATCTCCCAAATGTCCCGGCCGCAACAACACTTTTATTGGTTCCGCTATCGGGACAGAACCAATAATGGCGAGCCGTTATTTATTTATTTTTTATAAAAAAAAATTTTTTTTCTTCAATTTTAATGTTTTATTTAGATTACAAAAAATAAATGGTAATAAAAATAATCCTATTTATGATGTTTAAAAAAAAAAAAAAAGACCTATGAAAGACTAATTTAAGACATTTTAATACCAATTAAGGCTTTAGTTTTATTTTGAAGAATTCAACTTTTTAAGGACCCGCAGGAACCCTGAATAAAAGAAGTTTTGAGGGGGGAAATATGGCTAAATTTATTTAGAGCAAAATCATGCATCTTTATGAAGTAGGGAGAGGAGTCTACCTGATGTGGATGCGCTCCATGGGTGAGGGGAAAAGTGCTGTCTGCTGAATGAGGGCGCGCCGACCCCTGCGTGACCATGCAGATACACGGGGCTGCCAGAGATACTGGTGGCAAAGCTGGTCAGCGCTGTGAAAACCAATCAGATACCTCAGATTAAAGAAAGAACTCTCCACAAGGATTGTCTCATTTACGGCGACTGTTGCAGAGAACTTAAGATTTTATGGATTTTTTTTTGTACGACAACCCAATCCAAACAAGAACTCTCATATTTCGTTATTACACAAACAAATTTGGATCAAAAAAGGAGGACTCCTACCGATGGGACTGTTGACCATCCTCTGGGAGGCCGATCGGTAGCCGGGGGCTTTGGAGCTCTCTGTGGGAGGCGGGGGCATCATGTTCTCCATCTGACCCATGTTCATGTAGGCCGGCGGCGCTGAATACGACTGCTCTGGAGGTGAACGCGTCGGCAAGTGGCATGCACCCCACATTGCACTGTTTCCCACCTGCTGGACGTAAAAACAGTAAAATTAAACGGACTGTCGGCGCGATGATGCTGCTGCTGACAGAGGAGGAATTCATAGTCACCTGGCTGCTGTTGTCAAAGATGCTGCTGAAATTGAAGAGACCTACATGGCTGATGTTGGGCGGGATCTGCTGAGCCTTGCCTGTACCGGCGATGTGCTGCATCTGGGAACCGTTCATGATCCCCAGATTAGCCGAGGCCTGGAGGGAGCCAGGCGCCTGGCCCTGACTGTGGGGCGGAGGGGGGAGGTTTGCCGGCTGGGACGTGTGGCTTTGGGATTGTTTTGGTATCTCCTGCTGAACGCTGAAAGGTACAAACTGCTGCTGTTGTTGTTGTGACTGCTGTTGCTCAGGAAGGGAGTAGTAAGGCCCCGGTGGCTGCATACGATGGGAGACTCTGGGTGCGGGAGCGGAGAAGTGGGGGACAGTGTTGTTTGGATGTGCGACGTTGTGTGAGTGAGCGGGAGACGATCCTGGAAGGCAGGAGCCGGCCTGCGAGCTGTGGAGCGCTGGGTGCGCCTCTGTGGAAGGTACGGAAGAAGCCGGCGGAGGTAACTGCTGTCGAGGTTCTGCCTTGGTACCTAACGCTAAAGCGGGAGAAGGGAAACCCACAGAGTTGATGGCGTCGCTGACGGATACAGGCTGATTCTCAGGAACGGTGGGCTTCTCTTTTCCAGCGGCGGCAAGAGCGGGCTCCGTTTTAGCGGGCTGGATGGGAGGCTGGGAAATGGGTCCGCCCTGCTGCTGGGAGGCGTTAGCCGTCGTCGTAGTGGAAGTGGGATGTGCAGTGGAAGCCGTGCCTCTCACTGCGTTACCGACACTGGTGGCGGCTGCGTTAGATACAGGCGTGACGCCCGCCGGCTTGGGGTCTGGAGCGAACAGCTGCTTCCTGACAGACGAAGGGGTGGGGATGCTGGGTTGGGGGTTGTATGGAGTCGGGGTGTGAGGCGAGGATGCGGCTACGGATGTATTGGGCGCACTGGTGGTCATGGTGTTGGTGGTGGTGACTGGAGTCCCTGAGCTGGCTGTGCTGCTGTGCTCACCGTGGGCAGAGGAGGGCTTAGCTTGGGCCCCGGGGTTGCTGGCTCCTCCGTTGTGTTTCGGGGAGCTGTTAGCGCTGCCGGGACTCACAGGGCGCACTGGAAAGGGTCCCCAGGTGCTGGCAGCTGGAGAGAAGGTGCCCCCGAACTGAGCCATGGGCAGACGGGGGTGTCTGATCTGGTGCATGGTCTGAGCGGCTAGCAGCGCCAGCTGGGGGTGAGCGTACGCCAGGGGCAGGGATACAGGGAAAGGCTGCCGGACGTTTGAAGGCAGGCCCTTCCCCATTTTCCCTCCGGCCTGAGAGGAGGAGGACGACGATGAAGATGATGGAGGTTGGAACACGACCCCTGAAGAAGTGACCAACGAGCTCAGAGGCTTGGGGCCTGCAGTAGAACCACCGCTGGGCCCCGTGGTACTGGGGAAAGAGGGCAAGCCGGCTTTAGAGCCCGGGGCTCTTATGTGATTCCGAGGGATCAAGTCCTCGAGTTCTTTGGCCGGGTCCTGGATCAGAGCGTTGATCAGCTGGACCGCATACCGAGTGGATTCTGTGCCGCCTCTGAAACGACAAAGTTGGTTTCAGTCAGAACAACTCGCAATGTGTTACACATCGATCAAGCTTATCTGTAAACAAAACGCAACATGTTATAGCTCTTGAGAATCAGTCGATCTTAAGGAAAACGGCCTAAACTCAACTGTCAGCCAAATATAATCCACAGAAACCAACAACTAATAATCTGTTATCAAATTAAAACTCATAACTTTAATTTCTTTTCCATTTTCTGGGATTCTAAAAAAAAACTTCCTATCCAGGCATAAATGGGCTCATTTTGTCCGTATCACTCCACAGTAGATAACGATAAAAATCAAAAGCTAATTTTTTTTTTCCAAGAGTAAAAATACAAGAAACAGAGCTTGTTCTTCAAGGAATGAGCGGAAACATTCCTCACTGGAGAAACGATGCATCATTGGAGTGTTTGTGCAGTGACTGATCAAACTTTGGCATATTTTGTAGGAAGTGGGCTGAAAAGATGGGTTTTATCACAAGCATTTATAATATTATTTTACTGACTGATGGCATTTGGGTATGCAATTCATTTGTGGACACGCTATAAACAGGTGGGAGATAAGCGGTCAAACATCAGTGGCATTCATTTCAGTCCATCTGTTTAGTGTTTGATGTTTTTTGTTTGAAAAATTGTCTTTTTTTGTAGCAGCATGTGGGGAAAAAAAGTCAGCCTCTTTTAGTGATTCCAAAAAAGTAAAAAAAAAAAACCCACTGGACTTTGTTTGAAGACGTATCGTCAACGACAAGCGTTTGGTTTCTACAAGTAGTATAACTGTTGTTTTCTTGGTCTAAAATCTATACAAAAATAATTTTTAGGATGTTCCATTTAGCCTCGTGAGACCATCCTGATCTCACGAGCTTTCAAGATTTCACTCGCTAATAAGTCTGGAGACTCTCCGTTGAAGAAAATTTGGAGCCGTTCACCAAACGAACGTCCAATCAGCGTTGGCTTTGAGGCGGGTTGAGGTGTGACGCAACGAGTTCAGTCTAAAGCACATGGTGGCTTCAGCCGATGAAACTAGCGTTAGCGTGG